TTCATTGGATAGTGATTGAAGGAGTATGTACCATCATCTCCAATAACTGGCTCAACAATTTGATTGCCGCGACCAACAGCAAGAATACCAGCCTTCAAGAAGGTAATGACAAAACTCCATCAAGATAATATAATGCAATTTCATTGTACACTCTCAACGCATATGGTTGCAATGAAATTATTCATAACTTTCCAAGCCGATTCAAGTAATACTAACATTATATTTGAGTTATTAGGTCAAGTTTAGGTAAACTACTCGTCCAGTCCACTGATATATTCATATAACTTGTGTTTGTGTCTTTTACATATAAAATCCAATAGAGAGATAAGAGGGAGAACCTGAGGCGGATTTATAATTGCACAAAATTGATCGATAGGAAACATCCCCAAGTTTGAGATGCTGCATGAAGAAGGGATTTTTATGGTGATATCAGGAAGGTACAAGGACTGGGCAATTCATTGTGTCAAATATATAAGTGCACAGAAAGTCACCTGAAAGTGCCGCCTTGAAACTCATGTGGCTTGAGCTTTCCAGCCCGTGCTTTTTCAGCGAGTTCTTTAACCTACAGAAACAGTACACATGGCATGATAAAAAAAATAAAATAAAAATAAAAAAAAATGATTAATCGAAGGAAAATAGTAATTCATGAAACCAAATGGTCCACAAGGCTCGAACATATTTCGGATGGAAACAAGACTTCTGTACATACCTCTGAGGAAATTGATGATATAGACTTCTGGTCTGCATTTCTAACTATTGGAGTCATCAAACCCTAACATTGAGAGAATATGGTGAGTCAACAGATCAAAGTCTGAAGTTGCTACAACATAATCTATAATTTGCAAAATACCTTCTCTGTAGCAACTGCAATAGATATGTCAACTGAATCGCATAAGACCATTTCTCCTTTGTTGGAATCCCAATAAGCTACAAAGTTCCATAAGTTCAGCACACACCATGAAAGACAATGAGTAGCATTCAAAAAGCAGAAGAATTTATTTACTCCATTTCATGTAAACTGTTTCAAGGAAGATCCAAAAAACAGGCAAAATAATTTACCCCTTCAGACATCCAATTACCAGAAAGAACACACAAAGTAAAAGTAGGATGTGGTCTGACATATGTTTCTGATCTTAGGTTTCATGAAAATATATTTGTGATTCTCCCTTACAAGGAAATGTTGGAAGTTGGATACAATTTCAATGTACTGACTCCAAGATATAGCACACACAAAAAAAGAAATGCCACAATATAACAACAATCATTTCAGAAACAATAAAATCTGGCATTACGAAATCATTTCTTGTTGTTCAGTTGTACTAGGTCGGACATCATTAAACTAAGAAAATCTCAATCAATTTCAATATTAAGCAGTTGAAGTGTTGAAAAGAATTTGTATAAAATTATGATACATTTCTCTTAAACCAGCTACCACACATTTTTACATACAACAAGTCGATACATTCTCACGGCAATAATTGCCGTGAGAATTGGATATGATCATAGTGTTCATTATAAACATAGAGATCAATGAAAGGCTACAGACCGCTGAACTTTATCCCAAGAATAAAAATTGTTTGGCAATCTTGCCATAAATGGAATGTTATGAACGAGCTCAAGCCCGTGAACAAACGAGAAGAATATGAACAGTAATATGAGCACTAGTCTCGAGTGGAAAATGCAAGGAGAGAAGCTCTTGGGTTATCGAGCTAGGCTAAGCTTCAGGCTCTCATCAGATTCATTGTCTTTTGCCAGTAACTATATTTATGCACCATTGTTTAAGCCTCCACGGTGTAAATTCATTGTTCGAGAATGTACTTGGTGTAAAGTAGTTTGCACCTCCAAAGACAATTGACAATCAAGACCTTTCACTTACTAGATAACAGTAGAATAATTTGTAATAAATTGGCAATCATTTAACTCTTCCTTTCTCTTGTAATTTTTCTTTTTCTTATTCCTCAGTTTTCACCTCACTTGACTCATCATCTCCCTACTCAATGATCAAAAAAGAAATCACGTAATATTATAACTCTTACCATTTGCTTCAGGTACATTCCTCAGTGCAATAGCAACAGCTTTGATTACAATATCATTTACAGAGACTTTGACGTCATACTTTGCTGCAAAGTAACAAAATGAGATCACTCAACTCATAACAAGTGTTTCCATCACTACAAGAACCAATATATATATCATATAAGATGACTATATACCTTTAAGATTCTTTCTGAACGAGAGAAGAGGATCCAGTACAACATCTAATTCAAGTCATTAGAAAATAAGGATCATTTGTGTAGCATAACAGGTAACGCAAACAAAAACATATCAACAACTGATTGAAACCTGTAGATAAATATAGATGAGGTGTGGATTGTTTTGATTCCAATAGCCTTGTAGCTATGACCTACAACATTAAAAAGGAAGGTAATGCTAGCAAAGATAAACAAAGATGCATTATGCGTATAGAACCCCGTATAAAAATATTATCTAATGGATGCTGTCAAATATTATCTTATGGAAGTGCATTCAAACTGACAAGAACAATATGTAACTAAGACTTTACCAATGCGTTTAGCAGGTATTATTCATTTATATTTTTTTAACTATCCTTTCATGGTACAGCAATCTACAGGTTGAGGTTCAGCCTAATCTACTTCACATCCATCAAAAGTTTATGTGGCTTCTTCAAATATGGGTGCATGGATTTAGAACTCATTTCAGTTTCTAAACTGGTGATCCACCAAAGATAATTAAGAAACTCCTACGATTAGGCAGAGAAATATCAGATTCAAAATATTTTTCTATTTTATTACAAAATATAATTATTATTTTTTTAGTATTGATCTGTATGTGGCGAAAAGTAAAACAAAATCAAATACTACCAGTATTTGCAAAGACAACCTATAAACATGTCAGCAGCCAAAGATTGTAGAAGCAGGATAAATTGCTACTCCTAGGTAATATACGGGAAAATAGTTCAATATGTTTCCGAAGACAGTTTACACTAGCAAATTACCATGGTGGTTCTATGCCAGACACGTGTTTAGAGATTAGACTAATAAATGCATAACAGTACAGAATGCGTTTTTCACCATTACCACAAACGACATTCAATTGAAACACCGGGTTCACATTGCCCAATTTAACCAACGTCGTTTCATATATACCAACTTTGTGTTCCTTCACTCATATACCAGCTGTTTATCCTTTCAAGTGTAGACAAGAAACTTCAACAAAGATATGCCACTTCCATTTGCAATAGGCATATACTTTACGTCCATTAGTTGAAGAAAAATACTCTCCAGGGAAGACAACCCCAAATAAGCTTGGATTAATATTGTAGTCCAATGAGATGAGTGATAATTTCGATGTGAGGTCGTGTCAGTAGACTCCCAAAAAAGAATCCCCATTCACGCTAGTTGATTAAAGAGAAAGGACAAGCATAACTACAATCTAGATTAATCATATATTCAAATAGTACCTTTCTTATTTGACTATTTGGTAGATCTTCATAAGCATCTGTGTTCTGTACGGAGGGTTTTGATCCCACTGGCGAGGAGGCAGAAGTTTGAATAGGCGATGAAGAAACCTTTTCTTTAGATCCAGGGACACTAGCAGATCCTTTCCCCAACTTTATTGCACTTAAAACATCCCCCTTTAGCAAAGTACCACGGGGACCAGATGCCGTTATGGATGATGCATCTAGTCCATGTTCTAGTATTAGCAACTTTGCTGCAGGACTAATTCGACTGAAACCTGTCATCTGAGGTTCGACATCCTTTTCAGTTTTCTGTTGAACAGGCATTTCGTCTTTCACACTCAGATTACCTGTGGATGCTTTTGCAGCTTCAATGTCATTGGGATCCTCAACCTAGCAAGACATAAACCCAATATGAACTAATCAATTTACAAATTAGACATGATCACATGACCAAGCATATGGGAACTCGTTTTAGATTCTACTGGAGGAACAATGTGATTAAATACAATCATACAAGTGTTTTCATTATGAACTTACAGTAATTGCAATGGGCTGCCCAACAGCTACATCTTTTGATCCTTCTGGAGCCAAAATTTTGGCCAAGAACCTGAATTCAAAAATCCAAAGTACATTTTCATGCAACCACTACACAAATGAATACAAATACTTCTCTGATGACATGGAGCATGTCAAATAAAGTGGGTGCTGAATATCCCACAATTTCAAATAATGAGATAGCACTAATAACCACCTTATCAAACAACTCTCAAAGCAAAAGACTTGAAGAAAGAATGATCCATATAGTAGAATTACTTTTCTTATTTTTGTTCAAATTGTTCATGTAATATTTCCTCATGCCGACATGGTCAACGCGAATTATCATGGAACAGTAGAAATGTTGATTAAAGACCTCAAACTCTTAAAAGTATAGCAAATGGTGTTGGAAATATTTCATTACCCTTCTTCAAGGCTTTCAAATTCAAGGGTTGCCTTATCTGTCTCAATCTCACATATAACATCACCAACCTCGATCTGCAACAGCAGAGATAAACACATGTTGTCAAATCAACTTGAGGAGTAGCGCACAAAGAACCTATTTCATACATGAAATAGTTGTATTACCTTGTCACCTTCATTTTTCCTCCATTTTACAATATTTCCCTGGTTCTGAGGATCAAACGAGAAAAGGAAGATAAAGGAACACTCTTCGGAACTGGACAAAATGTTGAAATATTTTTGCAGCATAAAACTTAACAACACGTGTAGTCCTTACTCCTTACCATAGTTGGTGATAATGCCGGCATTTCAAGAACAATGTGTGGAGGAAGTTTGGATGTGCTAACATTCCCTGAGCTTGATTCTCGTATCCTGTCACCATGCCCCACAGTTTTTTCACTCGAAGTTTTATCTGTGACTTCTGACTCACTAACTGTTGCAGGAATATTAGCCACATCATCTGCATCCTCTACCTGCTTAATCATGACCAAAAATCAGCTTTCGCATTATCCAAATGATGCTAATTTGCAAATAACACCAAATGCAATTAATATCTATAGAGTAACAGCAGATGTTTACTTATAGAAATTTATTATCGTAAAACCATCTTATTCAGTAGAATAGATGCAAAGTAGCTAGGAGTCTTGTTGTGATAAATCTAGTGACGGATCTAGAAAATTTACTAAGGGGGCCCGATTTTAAATATTAAATAACGATATTATAGTTTAAGTCGAAACACTTCATTTTATATTAAAATGTATTTACTATAAATAAAAATATAGATACGTGTACCATCAAGTTTTTAAAAACTTAGAATCCGTATCACCTCAAACTTCAGAAAAATAAACAAAAAAATGAGATTTCATGTATTAGTAATTTAAGTTCAAATCATGAAAAAGAATAAATTTTTTGGTCGAAAAATTGATTCATAATTGAACTTTTGCACCACATTGCGGAGCATATTTGTTGAGCTTATCAAATAAACTTTTTTTAAGAAAAAATAACAACAACAACAACAACAACAACAACAACATAGCCTTTTAGTCCCAAGCAAGTTGGGGTAGGCTTTTTAAGAAGAAATAAAAAATAAAAAAATTTAAAAATATGTGATTACACAAAAAAAGAGTAAAAAGACAACATTAAAAAAAATGTAATAATCCAACTAACTCGATTTTATAAATTACTCAATCGATTTACAATTACTAGAACGAAATACTAAATCATTATAAATATTTTCAAAATCTTATCTAGAAATTTAAAATATAAGAATTTTTAGTACATTTTTCAATAAATTAGTATTATTTAATTTTAATAAAAATAGCATAGGAAATAAATTTTAATTATTAATGCATTGTAAATATTTTTACATTTTTATACATATTTTATAGTATTTTCTTTAGATATATTGATTTTTAATAAATTTTAATTATTATTTGTAAAAAAAAATTGCATTTCTATACATTTTATATTATTTTCATTATATATACTGACTTTTTTTTTAAATCAGTGGGGCCCACGGGCCCCCTGGCCCCCTTGTAGCTCTGTTTTTGGTGATAACCTTTGAGTGATAGGTCATAACAGTAGAAGGGCAGTAAAAGATCAAGGATGATCCAAAGACGTGTGCATTCCATTTTAGTTAGTTGTGCTTCATTAACTCAAAATTGTAGCAATTAGCCAAACTCGGGCCATGTCATGATAGATTAGTATTTGAAGCAGCGACGATAGGTAGAGATAGAAAGGAAGGGTAACTAGAAGTCTAGAGCACATAACCGTAATTGCTATAGGCTGTCCGACAGGCACATCTTTTGAACCTTCAGGCAAAAGTATCTTAGCCAGAAACCTGCAGGACATGTTGAAAGGGAAACAAATGTGTTGCATCAGTAGATTGCATAACATGTAGTGTCGAATAAATAAGTTATATTGCATTAATACCCATAAAGAATAACTACCCAACACAATACGAATTGAGTGATGTCTTCAAAAATTGATAGTGGCAGACAATACATGTCAAACATGCACTAAGCATTATAAGCACAAATCCACATGGAAGTCAACCCAAAAGAAAAATTTGGTGAAACACATTCACAGGGGGAAAAGAAAGAAAGATCAGAATAAAATGTAAATGGAAAGAACGAAGACAACAATAACAACTTTTACTAAAATATGGATGCATATAACACACAAAAATATATGGAGTACATCCGTATTGCAGGTAATATTCTGGACATTCCAAATTACAACACTCGTCCCATCATATATGGTATCAGTGCTCACCCATCTAAAAATTGTAAGAGAAAATTTGAGAACATTTAAAAAAAACTTGAAAACATTTTAGTTTAATAATAAATGCACTTCTAAGGAAAAAATGATGGCTGGTCTATATGCAATTATGACAGATTGAGATCAACAGTTTACCCCTCCTCAAGGCTTTCAAACTCCAGGGTAGCTTTGTCGGTCTCTATTTCACATATTACATCCCCCACATCAATCTGTTGGATACAGAAGATGAAGATAGTTAAATCGAATACATAGATATCCCATCACTCTTCAGCAGACCTTCATAATTTGAAGAATCAATTTTCTGCAATTTAGTTTAGGTATCACAGGATGCCAGGAAAAGCTATGGAGGACCAGTCTGACCTTATCCCCCTCCTTCTTCCTCCACTTTGCTATGTTACCTTGACTCTGTAATAAGAAGAAAGGCATATCAGAATTCTTAATAAGCTAGAAATTTTAATCGTATGCTACAATCATCACAATCTTTTACCATTGTCGGTGACAAAGCAGGCATTTGAACCACTGTATGCTCAGGCAGCTCTGCATTAATCCAAAACTTGACAATCATTGCTCATTTCAAGAAAATATCAGCTAGCAAAGCCAAAAGATTTCTCAACTATGTTTTTCAAAATATCAATTTTAGAGATTAAGGGTTCACTTGCACATGATAATCTTCACAAAATGTCTGAGAACATGAAGACCCAGCTTTCGGGTATTAGAAAGAATTTTAGCACACCAGTCATTTCCAAAAAGGTTTCTACAACTTTACTTAAAAGTAGGGAGCTCACTAATGTAAGGCTATGTAGCTCTCTATCTGTTGAAAATAGTTTCTGATTTATGTACTCAATCGTCCAATTTCTTTAAATAAGCCTATTATTTTCTTTTCTTGTCTTACACTAGCAGAACATAGTTAACAGACATTCAACCCACTGCAACACAACCTTTGACACCAGAAAGGGTACAAAGTTTATGTACAACGGCAAAAGCAGACATAGAAGTGGCTTTACTGTCCAGTTTGAGTTAAATCATCAATTAACATGGATATTTAGAAGCATTTTATAAGATAACAAGTTACATACTGCCAAAACAAAGAATTTTTCAAAGGTATATCTTTAAAATACAACTTTCCAATCCAAGTAAACTTATAAATTAATATATGCTTCAAGGATAAGCAGGATAGAATCATTCAATGAAACAACATAAAATGGTGGACGAAATTTCATTTAAACCAGATTCATCTAATTCCTAAGATTATTGAGAAATGAATATCGATAATAGGTTTGCGATAGATAAAAAGATTTGTACCTGCAGATGAATAGTAGCGGACACCAATTCGAAACTGTAAACCACATGAAGAGAATCAGAAAAAGGTGGATAACCATTGAAAAAAAAATAAACACTACTACCTTTCACCACCAACCTTAGTCTTGGAAGAATCATCACGAATACCAATGGTCGGCGAAAAGGCTGATGGTCTGCCAAATTCATCATAAGTTAATGGACGGTGAACACAGTGGATGACAGATTAACATCATTTGATAAATATTACTCTAAAGCAAGCCCCCTAAATAAAACATAGCAACATGCACGCTAAAATTTCTACCTGATGCAACCTGTAGGAACACCGTGACGGGAACCAGTCTAACTGACCATGTAAGCTGGCCAAGTTTAAGTGTTGAAACATATTTGCCCACAAAAGGGAAAAAAAAATGGTTATACCATATTCCTAACTTGTTATACCACTTAGCCATATTTACAGCTCAGTAGTAAAGTTGGGTTCGATATAAACTATGAATGTGTGAAAATATGTGGATGCTAATGTACATGTGGCAGGGAACTCAAACCCTTTCTCCACATTTCGTTCTTAATTTTTCATACACCCTCTACTCATGTCACTACTACTGATGAATCCACCCTGTGTTCTTCGCTCCGTTTCAGTTCATCTTAGACCCTCTATCTCACTACACGTTCTGTTGAGGTTGCTTAACTTTGTGTGTAATTTGCGACCCATCAGTAGTCTAACGAAATTCTTGAATCGTAGCATCTCTTATTCCACTGATCACTGTATTCTTCAGAATCTTTCAACGAATCAGATAATTAATCGACAATGTAAATCTAATGGTCTTTACATTTTATACTCTTCAACCAAAATCTCTAGTTTGCGCCTGTTCCGCACGTGAGGTACATAGTTGCTTAGGTCATCCTTCTCTCTAAAATCTAAAGAAACTTATCCCCAGTTTTTACACCAAACTACTCTATTTTGTGTGTTTGCTAAATATCCATACTCCGCCGGGTTCTAGGAGTCGTTTATCCTTTCATGCTAGTTCATTTTGATGCCGGGATCCTTATTCAGTGTATATGGCCCGTCTCCCTATTAATCGCATGCCATCCATTGTGTTAGATAACAATGTTCCATTCCCTGTCCTTCTTTCAAATAAAAATATTTTTCCATAGACCTAGACCCTAAAATTTTTGGTATTACATGTTTTGTATCTATACTAGACCTCATCTCTCTAAATTAGATCCTAAAGCTATCAAATGTGCATTATGGGTTACTCTCGTATGCAGAAGAGATACCGGTATTTTTCTCCTACTCCTACTCTAAATACGTATATTGTGTCTAGGGATGTCACTTTCAATGAATCTCTTCCATTCTTACTACTTCTAGTCAAGAGACAGAGAAACACAATGAACACAACAAGGATTTTTTAGTATATTCTATTCAAGTTACTAAGAGGTGATTGGTTATGAACTTAACAAAAAAAAAATATACTCAAATTTAACTCAACTTTAACTCAACCCCACTTTTCTCAATATTATCAATATAATTAACATCACATCAACATTAATTTCACTATTCATCCACTCACATAATTTTATCTAACTATCACTTTCAATCATTTTTTTCTTAGTTTCACATCAAATCAACTTTATTTATTTTATTTTAAATAACATTTTAATTTAAACGTAAATTTTCACTAACAACTAACCATACCACCTTTTAAAAACTAATTATGGTTAAAAAAAACAATCAAAAACCAATCAAATCCATATCCAATCACACCCTAAGTCTTGTCATTCTGAGCCTTCTCCCTTTTGTCTTAGCCAGCTTCTGACTGTTACTCAGCCTCCAATTGCTCAAGTTTATACATGACGCCCACGTCCAACTCTACAAGTTGCGGCCAATTCAGATTCATGTCCTTCTCCTAATGCTTTATTGAGAGAGCCTGCACCTGTCCATACGACCCTCACTCACTCCCACTGATGACCTTCCTATAGCTCTCTGAAAAGTAAATGAATACGCACCTACCCTACCATTTCTGTTGTTTCTTACGAATGTTTGATACCTACTTCTCGTTACTTCATTGCCCTAATAGATTCAATTTCTATACCAAAGATTGTTGGTAATGATTTGGCTCGTTCTAGTTTGCGTGTTGCAATGAATGAGGAGATGAATGCCCTTGATCAATGGGACATGGACATTAGAAAATTTACCTAATTGTTAAAAGGCTATTGGGTGGTAAGTGGGTCTTCACAGTTAAAGTAAATCCTGATGGTTCATTAGCTCGTCTTAAATCTCAATTGGTTGCAAAAGGCTATGCACAAACCTAGGGTACTGGTTATTCAGAGGCTTTCTCTCTTGTGACAACTTATGTCAGACTGTTCATATCTATATCTCTCGCAGCCTAGCTCGTCATAAATCTCGATTGGTTGCAAAAGGCTATGCACAAACCTATGGTACTAATTTTTTAGAGGCTATCTCTCTTGTGGTAAAACTTATTCTGTTAGATTGTTCATATCTCTTGCAACCACATTTGACCAGCCTCTTCACCAGCTTGACATAAAGAATGCTTGGTTCGATCGATTTAGTCAAATCATAACGAATTTGGTTTACTCGGATGTAAATCAATCATTTTGTATTCTATCGGCGTATTCTATTGGCGCTCTAACCAGGGGATAATTTTGTTGGATGTTTACGTTGATGATATTGTAATTACAAGGAATGACAGTGGTGGACTTGTAGAGTTAGAGACGTTTCTCCATTCACATTTTCAAACGAACGACTTGGGATCTTTGAAATAATTTCTGGAAGTGGAGATCGTTAGAAGCAAGAAATGAATTTTTCTCCCATTCATATTGAAACTGGAAAAACAGAAGCTAAGCCATGTAACACTCCGATGAATCCCAACTTGAATTTAGAAAAGGACGATAGCAAACCATTCCATGACACTGAATTGTGCTGAAGACTTGTGGGGAAAGTGAATTATCTTACTGTAACACGTCCTGATAGTGCTTTTGCTGTAAGTGTAGCAAGCCGGCTTATGTCTGCCCCTACTATTGGGCACTTCTTGGCAAATCTTGTATTACCTAAAGGGTGCTCTAGGACGTGGATTGTTATTTCCTTTCTGACTTTCTTTTTTCCTTTCTGACTTGATCCTAGAGTTGTGTGGGTACACATATATACAAACACACACACATATGTGTGTGTGTGTGTTCTTTGCACACTTACAAGATTGAGAATTGAGCTAACTTCATAATACAACTTATATGAAGGAAAGTAATAGTTGAGAAGTGATGCAAACCTTAGTAATGAATCTGCAACATCACTGGTTGAGTTTAATTGGCTAGTTCTGCACCAACACATTTCCATAAAAATGACAGAAAGAATGCAAAATTAATTAGTAATAGATTACAGAACTACATATGACAAAACTGAAACATGGTAGCGAAGTTCAATCAAGTATCCTTTGTCATAACTCTTTACCAAGTACCATGAAAAAAGATCAAAGTGAACTCCACAACTCCTATGTACAAAAAGTGTCGGAAAATGAGGTTTATCAAGGTCCAAGTAACTGAGCATTAAAATTTATGTACAGTATATATCTAATCAACCATACATGATAAGAGCCTCAAGTAATGCAAATGCAATATAAAGTGCACAGAAACATATCTTTATTTAATGTGATAATACTATTTCATTATATCTTCTATACATCTTAAACAAAAATGGGCCAGTAGCGCTGTCCTCACATAACGGTGTATTAAGGAAAAGGACAGAACTCATAAACTCAAAACTTAACTCTATATATTTATTAAAAAATTATATGTGGTCTACTGAAAAGTGATTACCTGAAAGAAGTTAGTAATATAAGTTGAAGAAGAATTAAAAATTTTAGATCCTGTAATATTCCCATTCCTAGAAATGCAATCCAACATTGTAGGAACCTTCTGTTCTAGGAATCTATTTCCTCAGAGAGCTTTTTCCAAAAAGATTTGAAAACAACGATAATCATTTTATTGATATACTAACACACACACACACACACACACACACATATATATTCGTTGTACTTGTTAAAACTTTTGTCCATACTTCACAGATCCTCTAATAATTACAATACATCAATAGTTAGTATTACGTTTACATTTTTTATTGATCACTTTCTTTAAAGTATGCATTTTTATATATATTATGACTTATATTTTTCACCCATTGATCAGAACTTAGCAAAGAAAGTTACATCGTCCGAGAAATGCCTAAATTTGAGTATAGTTTAGTTATCAATCAATTATATCGTCTAAAATAAGAAAACATGATCATTGAAAGCATGAGATAAGATATTACACGACATTCTACTGTCTTGAAAATATATCACATTAACCATTTACTGAGTATTACAAAACCAACGTTCACTCTTCATATACCCAACACAGACAGCTCACTGAAATAAGTTTCCCTGTAAACGTATCTTTGGATATTTCCGTATTCGCTATGGCCTATTGAACTATGAAGAATTACCTGCCAAGCATCTACCAGCTGGCAGCTGCAACTCATGTTGAATTACAACCAGTCACATCCCAGGCAAATGGAAAAGCAAAATGCCTCATAAATTCAAAACAGTATTTCAATGTCAGAAAAGTCATGAAAGCCAACAACCGGGAATAAATGTGTTCTCCTAGGACCATAAGTATGATATTTCCTACATCACTAGGAACCACTTGAGAGATCACAATCTATCAGCTATTTTCTCACGACAAGACACCATAGCAAGAACATCAGCAGAACAATATCCAGTTCCCAAATTTCACACAGAATCTAAAACCCATCCATTTTACGATCCGAATTTCTCCAGAAATTGTATTACCTTCCCAGATTAAATCCAAATTCAAAAATTAGTTTCGCGAGAAAGATAGAAGGGTACCGAATAAGGGGTAAGCGAGAGGATGAGTACGCCAAAAATCGAGCCCTGATAAGCGACGGAGCGCGGCGGATCACTGGATGCCGTAGCCTCGACAACGCCATCGATCAAATCACTGCAAAATTCCTATTGTATGCAAAGAGCAAAACAACAAATTAATCCTTCTTTACTAAATTCATACAAAATTGTTTATGCTGGGTTTTTTTGTCTTTTCGATGGCGGGCTGTTTTGACTTGGAGTTTGGAGATGGCGGGTCAGAGCCAGAGGAGATAAGCACATAAACCCAACTATTTGTATTGTATCAATAATTTTTTTAGGTTCATTTATATACACATAGACGGCAAAATTTATTCACACCTACATAACCCAAAACATATATATTTACAGAATTATTATTATTATTATTATATAATTAAAAATGGAACATCCAATTTGAGTTTGAATCGTATTTATGTTTGAAAGAATTTGTAATGTAATTTATTTTTGGGGTAAAATGCACGAAACCCCCCTGTAATATACTAAATCTGCGGATTGTCCCCCTCTATTTTAAAAAATGCGTCAAACCCCCTTCTATTGTAGTTTGGCATGCGCGAAATACCCAAAACCGTCTAAGATGACGGAAGTGCTGCGCACGCGCCTGCTGTGCGGCTTTTGCTTCATTCTTTCACCCCAAAGTCGCGGAAATGACTGTTTTACCC